CATAATCATTGGCCGACAACACTATATAATTACAAAATTTCCAAAAAATTTAGAGATCAACAGCACAATCAAATCTTTACAATCACACAACATATTTCTTTAATCAATTTAAGCATATTTTCAAGCCTGTGAAAAAATCATCATAGAACACCAAATTGTGCTATTCAATAATTTAAGCACCCAAACCCATCGAATAATCTCAATTATAAAAGTAAAAGTCATTTCTCCTTAAAAGATTTGAATTTGAACAGATGAGTATATAGGGTATGTCTTTTTCTTTTTTTTAAAAAAATGGTACTTTGTATTAAGATAGTGACAAAGTACACCACAACAAGAATCTCATTAAAAAACCTTCTTAAGACCTAATTTGGAGGAAAAAGAGTATACATTGAAGTGGTAGCAATCTATGAACAAAATTAAAATACAACAGATTATCAACTCCCAACCCGTGCAACTAAGAAAAACTATCACAAACAAGAACCAAAAATTGCTTAAGGAACCAACCGCCAAGCTACTGGAAAACAGATTCCAAACCAAGGAACAAAGAAACAGAACCTGCTATGCTAACGTCCACCCACAAATATCAGTAAATGTAGGAGACAAAAACAAAAGAACATACAACAATGATCTTTACAATTATTTACTACCCTTTCAGCAACAACCAATCACTAAGGATTCGGTGCAACGAACAAAGTCTTGAACGCTCGAAATCATCGACGACCAAATCAAATTAGCCCAAAAACCTATCTAAACCTTAGCTAAATAGAAAATCTGATCAACCGAATAAGATCTTCCCTTAAACCTGATTTTATTTCTGCACAACCAGATTTTCCAGATCATACCGAAGAACCCGAGAGTCCATAGTGCACGAAATTTCTTTTTGATTTTCTAGGAAACCCAAACCTACAACAAATCCTTAACATTCAAAGGAAACACAATACTAATATGCCACACAGAACACCAGCGTTGCCAAACCTGCCAGACACACTCGCAGTGACACAGGACATGATTAATAGTTTCGGGAACTCGATTGCAGAAAGAACAAAAAGAATTATCAGTACAAAGAACTCCTCGCTTTTCCAGCTCTGTGGTAACCGGCAACCTTTGATGCTCTGCTTTCCATACAAAACCAGAAACTTTTGGAGGGACGAATTTACACCAAACCACTTTCCAAATTGAATCTTCCATTTTTCCAGCAGATGCCACCTTAGAACAAAAAGATTTGGGTGTATACCTACCATCAGTAGAGCCTACCCATTTCAATCTATCAAGAGCGAGAGCTAAACTTATAGCTCTACTTAGGACCAGTAAAAAATCCGACCAAAGAACTTTTTCCCATTAAAAAAGATCTCTCCTCAACTCAGTCTTCCATTCCCAAGCTCCGTTCTCCCAAGTCCCAAACTCATAAATTTGTCCAGATTTTTTAAACACCAGACCAAAAATTCTAGGGAAGGATGCTTTAAGAGAATTCATTTTAGTCCAATGATCATTCCAAAAATCGATTTTAGCACCATCACCCATGATGCAAATAATGTCAGCAAACAAATTCCCCTCATTGGATACGACCGGGTTGACAATATTACACCACACCCAAGAAGAATTACGCTTGTTTACTACTTTTGGAACAATAGAACCATGAACGTAATTATACTTAGCAACTATAATTTTTTTCCAAAGACTATCATTCTCCTCACCAAACCGACAAATCCACTTATTATGCAAAGCTTGATTCCTAGTTTTAACATCATAAAAACCCAAACCCCCATGAGATTTTGGTCTACATACAATTTCCACTTTATCTAATGAATTCCCCTCTCCGAATTCCCCTTCTAGACGAATGAAGATATGAATATGTTTATAGTATCTGTTATGGACTTGGGAATAGGGAATAAAGACATATAATAAATAGGTAAATTAGTTAACACAGATCTAATCAAAGTAAGCCTGCCTCAAAGGATAAAAGTTTACCTTTCCAGCTATGTAATCAAGACTTTATCTTATCCAACACTGGTTGCCACAGAGACTTTGAATTCTTTTTGTGGCCTAACAGAAGACCCAAGTATGTCGTAGAAAGCAAAGCCCATCCCCAATTTATTGATTCCGCCCAACTTCTAATTCTACTTTCATCAACATTGATACCAAAAATCTTGGACTTCTTCATATTTAATTACAGACCTGTAACCAACTCAAAAATTTTAAGAACACGATTGAAATTCTTTAAACTACATTCATTTGCTGCCAAAAATAAAAAAAGATCATTTACAAATTGGATATAAGATATTTCTACACTTCCAAACCCAACTCCAACACCACCACACAACCCAATTGTAATCGCTTTCTTAAACATGCCACTAAGGGCCTCTCCAATTAAATAGTAGCGACGATAATGGGAAGCCCTGCCTTAGTCCCCTCTTAATTAAAAAATTGTTCGAAGGGCAGTCGTTTACTAGAACAGCAATGGACGGAGTCGAAATACAAAAATAGACCCATTTTCTCCATATTTTTCCGAAACCCATATTCTTTAGAACCAGGTTCAGAAACTGCCAGTTAACTGTGTTATACACTTTACTAAAATTTGCCTTAAATAGCACATCTTCTTTCTTACTTTTGGAAAGGTCATCAATAACTTCGTTAGCAATCAGGATGAAGTCCACAATCTGCTTACCGAAAATAAAAGCGAACTGATTCTCCCTCAACACTTCCTTTGAGACAACTAGTCATTCTCTTAGACAAAACCCGAGACACTATTCTGTACAAGCTCCCACCAAGGAAATTGGTCTGTAGTCCTCTGGATAAACAACCTCAACATTCTTCGAGATAAGAGCGATATAAGATTTATTAAATGAAAGATCCTCAACTATACCCTAGTAAAAATATCCATTAACAACATGACATCATCCTTTATAACCTTCCAGAAATTTTTGAAGAAATCCAAGCTGAAACCATTCGGACCCGACGCTCTCGAACCATCGGACGAATTAATTACGAGCCATACCTCTTTTTCAAAAAAATGACTCTCGATGAACCTTCTAGTGGCAGCACATAATCTTTTGACCGGAATATCCACTTTTTTTACTGGAATTGTTTCCACGTCATTATAATTACACCGAAAGTGACTTACAAAGGCTTGTTGAATCCTTGCCTAATGTTTAAAGACCAAATTATTGACCTTCAACTTTGAAATCTGGTTAAATCTTGTTCTTTTTGTAGCAGTTAAATGAAAAAACTTCGTGTTTCTATCCCCTTCTTTAAACTACCTGAGTCTGGATTTTTGAAGTCACTCTCATTCTTCCTTCCTCAATATTGCCCACAAACGAGCCTTAATTGCAACAAGTTTGGAGTGAGCATAAACTAAACTGGGGTTCGAAATACACCTTTTTTCTAAATCATTAATAAATTTCCTAATTTTTTCAGTATAGTCTAGATTTCTTTCTCGAATTGATCTTTCTCTTTCTTTTGTCACAACCTTAGTTAGCAGCAAGGATTGTATAATTCTTTTACCTCTGTTTGTCTTCCACACGCCCTTAATTCTATAAAAAAGAATTGGATCTTCAGCCCAATGGTTAAACCATTTAAAAGGCCTAATGAATTTTCTATGCTTCATTTCTTTTAGCACAACCGGGTTATGATCTGATAAACTTCTTGGAAGAGTGAACTACATGAAATCAGGAAATACACAGACAATATCAAATGAGATCATAAACCTATCCAACTACTTGCAGCCACATTCGGCCCTCCACTAAACCAAGTGAAAATACTGCCCAAAATTGGAACTTCAATCAGCTACCACCTTGAAATGAATTCTTCAAACAATCTTATCGCAACAGAGTTATCAGGGGCCCCAATTCTTTCCGAGGTAGACCTTACTACATTAAAATCCCCCACTATAACAAGATAGTTGGGGTTTAAAAAGACATTACTTAGATTCTCAAAAAACTCAGTTCTCACTTTGAAGGTTCGACCCATAAACGTTGACAATACCTATCTCAGAATTGTTCAAAATCAATCTACCTTTTATAGCTACATTTCTCCTAAGAATAATATTGCTAATCATCTTAAAAGCATTGCGATCCTATAATGTAATGAGACCTCCTGAAGCGCCTTCTGCAGGCGCAAAAACCAACTCGCTACTAACTCTACCTTTAAGCTTTTGCTCAACAGAAACATAAATCTCATCCACTTTTGATTACTATAAGAACACTATACTTGGCTTATTAGACTCTAAAACCCGACTGATTGTTCTTAATTTAATAATTTTCCCCAACCCTCTAACATTCTAGCTTAATACAGAGAAACCCAAATCCATAATAGTTCATTAACACAAAAGAGAGAGTTTCTACATTGCTCAGACCCAATTCAATGCTTACCTGAGAGCTCATTCAACTCCAATCGTTGAATCACAACCTCTCTCGACGCTAAGAAGACTACGCCCAATGCCTCACCAACACTAAACGTTGCCACCACTTCGTTTTAATGCCCCGAACGATCAATTGAGTTCACCCCCGCAGCAAATCCTCGATCAACCACACCCCTTCTGTCATTTTGTAACATATATTGCCTTCTCATACTCTTGTTCTTTCTTTTTAATGCGTTGTTTTTCATAACACTTCTATTCTCCACCAAAATCGCCCCCTGACCAGCTCTTGAAAAAAATAACATTTTCTTGTGATTTGGGAATTTCCTGGTTAGGCGTCAGGGATTGAGAATTATCCCATACGCGAGAATTAGCTACATAGCCCTCATCCACTACTATAATTGAAGACACCTCTTCAATGGGAATATCCAATAATCTTGAGTTGTTGGATGAAGACTGGGTCAGCCATAATTGATCAACATCTCTATTTATTTACATAAGCCCAACACTTACATCAATAGATTAGTTCTTAATCCCAACGTTAGAATAAATTGGGACATCGTGCAAATTCTCTTCTTCAGCAGTACTCATTTCCACCTCAATATCCACGTGCCCCATACTAGCTGCAACCGATCCGTTATCATTGTCACTCCTCTGACAGAGCGAAGCATGCGTAGCTGCCCCATAACATTTCTGCCTCGGGACCAACTCCATCAACATATTCTTCTTTGATCAATGTAAACTCACCCGCTTCCTCAGCATCTGAGCACCACGCGCTGCCACCAGCCATCGAGCCATCTATGAACACTCGAATTTCTTCCTGAACTTCTGTTGAGATTTTTATGGAGTATAATCTTCCATTGAAGACAATGGATACTTTCTATGGAATGTCTGAAACGTACTGAACTTCCATCAAAATCTTTTCTACATCAAAGCTTATCCGATTACAAATATCTTCATCAATCCGTAATACTTTGCCCTACAGGCTTCCCAAATCCATGAAGAAATTCTTAATCCACATTGCTAGAGGAACATCCGTCAAATGAATCCAGACTTTAATTATGACTTTATTCTCATAACCCTCCAACATTTCCAGCTCGTTGAACCAACGATGAACCCATGCCTCTTTATTAGACCAACACCCCTGTCGATCAGATTCATTTTTGAATTGAATGACTACCAGTAACTCATTCCAAATACTAACCTTCACATCATACCCTTCTACACTGAATGATGTTTGAATAATATCTTCATTGTACATCTTTTTTTATTTTCCCCACCAGACAAGTATTTCTCCACTATACCTCCTTCTCCTTAATGAAAATAATCATGTTTTTCTCACCATTTTTAGGTTCTGGTCTTGAATCTTTACCTTCTTCAATCATAACATGAATCACGTTATCCAGTCCAGATGACATAGAATGTTGAATATTATCAACATATTCTACTGCCCTTCCTTTAATAGTATGCAACCCTCTAAGTACTTCCTTAAACGACTTGGAATCCCTTAACGATGGCTTCTACACTTTTTTTTTAAAAGATCTACCTTCCTCAGCCCTCTTGACTTTGCTGCTCCCTTGTTATCATGAAATACTCTGATCTTAAAACCATCCATGATCCTACCATCAGCCCTACGGACCGCTGTGTCTGCTTCAGATTTACTTCTGAACCTAACAAAAGCAAAGGTAGAACCGACTGTTTCTCTCCTTCTACTTCTATACGCTATGAAAACGTCAGTCACAACTCCATACGCCTGAAACGTCTCCTTGAGGGTTTCAGAGTGAATCCTTTTACTCACATTGTTGACAAACACAGTATGCCATTTCGAGACTCGATCATGCCACTCCACTGCTGAAGCTCTTCTCTTCTCCATCTCCAATAACATAATCAATTAGCATATATTATCAACAAATTATATATAGGGTATTTGTCTTATCAATAATTTAAACTCTAAATAAATACCAACTTACATACTAATAAAGAAAAGAATTTTGGCCAAGTAAATTCGACATCATTAACCTTCACATCCCACTGGAGCAAACAATATACGCATGCATGTAATAATGAGGTAAATCTTGAAATTATTAATAATTAACAAGATTTTATGTAAAAATTTGAAATAATAAAGGATGATTTGGAAAAACCCAAACAAATTATGCAAGAAATTTGAAGAGTTTTATGTAACAATGGAGAAAAGAAAACATACCTAAAAGATGATAAAGTACAGAGAATGGTCAAAGATGCTAGAAATCTGGAACAATGGAAGATGTTTTTACCTTCGTTACTGGTCGTGGATAGAAAAAAGTTGATGTAGGTGCCGGTTAGAAAGAAGATAAAGTACGGCTATTTTTCACACAAAGAATAGCTGGAGAGAATGGTAGTGTTTTACCGAGAATAAAACGATAAAACACTTTGCTGAGTTTGTAAAAAAAAAAAAAAAAACTTTGACTGGGAAAATAAATGCGTTGACTAAAGCGTTGACTTGTACCAAATACTGTAAAATGCGAAAATAAACTAATGAACATTTTACTGCAATAAAAAACAACCTTAGATATGATAAATAAATTCTATTAATAATTTAAAGACATTAGCGTTAGGGTTACTGAAATAAAAGCATTCTTTAATCAATAGTGTAGTTTAAAGCTAAAAAAATAAGCAAATATTAGTGGATGACACTATCCTTCAGAAATTATTTAAAAATAATTAAGTCTAATTTGTATGCAATTCTTGTATTCTTCAAATTATTAATTTAGTATTTATTAATTTAGTCTCTCTAATTATTTGGTTTATAAATTAATTATTGTTGAGGAATACGTAGAATGACGGCTGACTAGTAGAGCAGAGAAATTTGTCCGAGATTGATGGTTTATCTCTTTTAATTTGAATAGAGAGTCATTAATCGATTATAATTTATCTTAAAAATCTTTCTTTAATATGACTATGAGAAAGGGAGTAAACTTATAGAAAGAGTCTTCTTTTCTCCTAGGAAAGCTACCATATGTATTTTAAATATCTAAGAGCTACATTAAGAGTGTAAATCTCTTACAAATTGACAAGGGAATAACACTTATCCCCTCTTCTAATTATGGAAGTGTCACACAATGACGCGATTTGAAATTTATCACTGTTTGCTTGGTGACCTTTACCTTAGTGAGGAATTATTTTCCTTGGATAATGTCGATTAGAGTGAAAGAGTTGGCTTAATACATTAGAAAGTCTCTCTGTAATTAGTAATAACTGAACATTTCTTCTTTTTAATTTTCTTTGAATAATAGAAAATATTACCATCTTTTTTAAAAAATGTAATATTTCTTTATTTTAATCAAAGAAAAAAAATATCTCAACACATTTGAAACTTCATCTCTTCAAAACTTGACTTCTTAGAATAAACTGCCATTGAATGTATAGGTATAGCATATATATATTGGCCAAGCATGCATGCATATATGTGCTCATCATGGTGACTTCTGAGAACACTTTCCTTCGTTTTATTGCTATAATCATTTGTAAATACTAATTACACTGTACAGTCATTCCTATAGAGAAGAAAATCTAACCTGTGACGATAATATATGCATATTTCAAACCAACATTCAACTATGTTTTGGGCGCAGTAAAGTGTGAAGCATGCCTATTCCGGGTTAATAGGGGCCTCGTCAATGACCCGAATAGGAGTAGGTGGGATTGAGTCCCACCATTCTTTCATCCGCCGATCTCGATCTCGATCTTCTTGGTTGTTTCCGATATACTTCCCTACCGGTGATGTCGTGACCATGGCATGAAACACAACAGCTATTATGATATACTTTAAGGGAATCAGAGCAAACAACATCGCCAATCCGGTCATTGTGAGCATCACCGTATTTGCATGCTGAAATGGATAATATATTAGAAGTACTTTTATGCAACCAAAGATTTCTCCAAAAGAAGAAAAAAAAAAAAGAAGTCTCACCAGAAATCTTGGGGAGGAATGCATTTACTTTTGCTTAATCTTAAAGTTCTCACACTAAAAGAATATGTAATTGCATGAATACCTTGTGAGCCCTCGAAACCAGAACTGAATGCAATTTCAGTATCGTCACATTCGCCTCCTTTATCGTCTCCCGAAGGGTAAAAAATCTGTATTGAGAAGAAACTATATTTTCTCTCATACTTGCACTAGGGTCGGAGCCAGTGTACACAACTATCTCCTTTTGTTTATCTTTAAGCCTTTCTTGTCTTGCTCGTGCCAGGTTTTTAAATAGAGGTTCGCGACCGCAATAGCGCCAGCAAAAATAGCGGTAGCGCCTGCTATGGCCGCAATTGCGGTAAATGCGATATGACCAAAAACACTGTGACCGCGATCAGAATCCCTGCTTGCCATATTCGCTACCACCAGAAGCAAGCCAAAACATATCGCCTTGCAAATCCATTCCCAACAATAACAACATCATGCCTAGTTTCTTTACTATCCTTTGGCTTTGAATTTGCATCAAGATTATGAATTTTTTTTTACATATACTAGGTGGAAAAGAGAAAGCAAGATCGACACTGACTTACTTGTATACTAACAGTGCAACTATGGCAAATGCCAGAAGAGAAGTTACTGGTTTTTCCCATGAAAAGATGTCTCGAAACCAAGGGAACATACTTCTAAGTGGCTTTAGTAGCTCCTACATATGCCAAAAGAATAATTGCAACCCATAAGTTCAAGTTCTTAATCACCATGAAAAGTTCGTTTGGCTCATCGAAAGCAAAGCTACAAGGTCCCGGATCATGATATGATATGTACCCTGTTACCATGATTCAGAGTGTGCATGTTATTCTCACCCTGCAAACGGAATGATGGACATTCGAGTGGAAAGAGTGAGTAATTACCATAAGAAAGATAGCACTTTCACTGATCCCTTCCTCTTTCGGCCCCTCGACCGTGGCTCTAGCTTTGGCAACTCCTCTTCCTTCCTTCCTCGCTTGATTAATGGCAGTCTCGAGTGAAATCTTATCATCATCATCTTTTCCAACTGCAATAGTTTTACTCACCTCACTCACTCTTTTCGCTTCAATTCTTGATATGATGTGCTCTGGAAGGTTCAGTTTCCTCAATATCAAGCTTGCACTACATGGTTGCACACTATCTACCTCCTTTAGACTCTGAGCAAGCTGTTCGAGTACATAATCCCCTTTAGGTAACTCTTCATACAAAGCAAAAATCAAGAAACTTGTTGGATTTGGTGGACAAATTCTTAGCATTTCTCTTGCTGCATGAAGCCTTATTATGCTCAAAATGGTCCTTGCATGCATCTCCCATGCTTGTATGGGACATTCCATCTCAAAATCTGATAAAAATTTGTGCATTAGCAGAATCTCTCTCGTAAGTGCTAGCCAATGGTCGTGCCTTGTGGAGCTTGTAATCTCGGGAAACACCAGCAGAACTCCTTCTGGCCTAGAAAAACTCAAAAGCTGAAGTCAGAAGTAACTAGTTCTTCACATTTGTCAGTACAAGGTAAAACATTACTTTGAAATTTCGGTAGTACCATTTAGCTAGACCAAGAATAACTTACAAGTCACGGGACTCGTAGACTATGGCTTTGTCGAAAAGTGGAGCACCCCACGGGCCTAGTGCAACTGGTTTAACACTGATGAATCTTCCTCGAAAGATCAATCTTCAGTGCATCTTCATAGTTTATCGCCTCAGAAGCCTCAAAGTAGAGAGCGTAATTAGTCAGTGTAAACCTACCTAGAAAAGTGCCGTTCATAGTGAGTAATTACAAGGTAACAATCACTTAAATTGTAATAAGATGAAACATTTATTTGATAGAAAAAGAAACAGAAAACTAACCAGGCCAACTTGTGCCTCCTATATGGCGAACTACTCTTTGTGAGCTAGCTGTTCCCTCAACATGTAATATGAATTCACCATCAGCCAACTCTACACCCTTCGGTTTCGCTTGTTTCTGCAAATGCTTCATGCAACTGTTGATCGACAGTTTGCATATTAGGGATATTAAACACTTGCAGTATTGCAGTTAAAACGACTGAAATTAATTGTTCAATTCTACCACTGCCAGTATTTTGTTATACTTTTTAACAGAGTTGTGATAATTAGCAGGGTTTTAAAAAACGGTCTGCGACAGCGATTTCGGCCGCGATATAGCGGTTTCGCCGTTGTCCGAGTTACCCGCGACGGCCGCAATAGCGTCCGCGATGGCCGCAATCACGGTAAATCCGAAATAACCGAAAACGCGACCGCGATTTGAAACCCTGATAATTAGTTTAAGTCTCACCGATAGTGTTGGTTTATTACTATATGATAATTGATGTTTATGCAGATAAGATAAAATTAAAACTAAATGAAAGCAAACTGACAACCGAAAGTGCCATCTATGACAATAATATAATCAAGTTAATCCCGCAATGATAAGTCCTTAGAAAGCAGCATTTCTTTCGAGTAGAGTTTGGATTGCATACTTGTGAATTTCTTTTAGGAACCTATCATATGCAGGGAAAAAGAGGCGATTTCCGGTTGGTGCGATAAGCGGTTCAAACGTGAATCTCCCATTAGTGATATCAGCAGCTAATGGAACTAATGAACTCGACCACACAAAAGCATCTCCTTCGACACTCGGATCATGATTAACCTACCAAGAAAAGTGCACAAATCAACTGTCTAACAATGACAAAACACTCTTGATAAACATAACACAAGCAACAGTTTATCCAATCGATTCTTGGTGAACAAATTAAAGCAATTGAATGATGGGAAGTAAATTTTCTTACCAGGAGTGACATCTGGGTCTGAATAGAAAGGAGAGATATCATCTTGTTCCGTCGGTTCTTTTACTCGTATAGCTCGATCTTCTTTCCCCTTCCCAGAGTACTCCTGCTAACTCAACA